TATTGTTTTATATGTAATTCCCAAGCATATTCTACTTGATACTATTGTAGCTGACAAATACTCCAGGGATTTATGGATCATACTTATTTTAATTCCCTTGTGTCTCTGGTTGAGAAATATTGCAATTGAAAAGCAGAGGCTACTTTACTGATAAACTGTTCTATAAATAAAATATCAAAACCATGTTGGAGCGGCTGAGCTGTATTTACACTGTGCCGGGTGTGTTATATGGGGGTGATGAGCAGCTTGCACTGGAGGAACGGGAAGACATTGTCCACAGCAAGGGATCAGACTCCAGATGTCCCTTTTCTTTAACAGGTTACAAAATCAAAGCGACCATCTGGTATCACTGGAAATCAGGACAGGTCACCGAGAGGCTGTATTAAACTCGAACTCCAGACACATAGCTATACACACTACAAACACATATATTATATACTGTATATATATATATATATAGATATATATGTAGATATATATCTATATATATATCTAAAGGTGTGTGTATATATATATATATATGTGTATACATATATATATATATTTGTCAAAGGATTTGTGATTTTAGCCAGACATCATTGTGATACTCCTCTAATCTAGGAAGATCATGCAGCTGTTTCCGAGTTTAGTATTACATCTTCCTGGATCAACTTTACTGCTTAAAGAGGAACATCACCCTACATAGGCAAAATGAGATTTATAATCCCTAATACTTTCCCCTGTATGATAATTTAAAAAAACATACTTACTATGGGGTCCAGCTCTGTCTTCCTTGCAGGTGAAGTTCTTTTTGGGCCGACTAGCTCTCATGTCACCATGTCATGAAAGGAGACCCGGCATAAAAACATACTTACTATGGGGTCCAGCTCTGTCTTCCTTGCAGGTAAAGTTCTTTTTGGGCCGATTAGCTCTCATGTCACCATGAAAGGAGACCCGGCACATGCACCAGATACCCTGCGAATGTGCAGACAGACCACTGGTTTCTGGCAGGTCTATGGGACCTGGCAGAGATCCATGGCATGTCTGCACAGACACATCACAGGTCTCTACTTGAGAAGCCTGGTGTGTCTACAAATGTTCCAGATGCCCCCTCAAATAGGCAAACACACCACAGTCCTATAGACCTGGCAGAGACACATGGCATGTCTGTGAGAGTGTGGATTCTGCATGTTCCCAGACACACCACGTGTCTCTGCCAGAGACCTGGTAGAGACCCAATGCATGTCTGCACATGCGCAACATTGCGTCAACTGCCTCCTGGGATGTATTATGTAGCACATATATTCCAAAAAAAGATTTTCTGATTATTTGGAATTATTTGTTAGAACAGCTTGGGACCTTGTTTAAGTTCGTAAATTGGCAGAGGGCCACAGCACATGATTATGGGGCTGCATTTGGCCCAAAAGTCATTTTATGATTCTTCTAGATATTTTACAGACATTAAAATGTATGTTAACCCTAAAATTAGTATTCAAGTTATGCATTCCTTTAGCAATAAACTATCTTGTACATTATGCTTCTTTTTCCATAAGACACAGTTTATTTAGTAGCAAATACCTGGTGAACCTGCCAGTCCGCCTCTTTTCCTGTTGCATGCGGAACTACCAGAGTCGCAGAGGTCGCGGCCGCGACCGGGCCCTTAAATTCGGCCACTTGGAGGGGGCCCAGGACAGGAGGAAGGGGCCCTTGGTGACCGCTGATTACCAGGATATTTATTATCCCGGTAACCGCTAATGTCAGTCCCGGGACCTCTTCCTCCTATCCTGGGCCCTACATGTTTCACGCTGCTCCCCTCACCTTGTTCCGGGCGCAGCGTGAAGCATCATCTAGCCGGGCAGCAGCCAATGATTGGGAGCGGTGTAATCCCCGCCCCTCATCACACAGAACAGCTGCCCAGTGCCGAATAGAGCTGCTGCGGACACGAAGGGGAAGACAGGGAGCTGGAAGCATGAAGGAAGGTGACATGGGGTCCGGGAGCGGAAAGCTGGGGACATGAAGGGGGAGATGATGGGGAGCTGGGGACATGAAAGAGGAGAGTGTTTTTTTTCCTTGTCTAAATTTTGTTTAAAAATAAAAAAAAAAATCTAATTTGTTTAGGGGGGGGGGGCCTTCATGTATTCTTGCATCGGGGCAATGAGGTCATTAGTTACGCCACTGCCAGCAAGATATGCTAACCTTCCTTTCGCTCCCCTGCTGCTCCATTAAACACCTGGTACAAGCTAAAAGTAACTCAAGTCATAGGTTACACGGGGCTCTGGCTTCTACCCATCTGGCAGTGCTGTTGCGTGGAATGAGTTACATGCAACTTTAAATACAAAATGACTGGGTGTTGCTCACGAAGGCAAGTACATTAAGAAAATATGAGTGTATGCTGCTGGGGAAGGAGGGATTCTTGCGAGCCTGGTGGTTCATTATTTTACTGTGGGTGTATAAGGTCTGGTTTATTGTATTTGTGTCATATTATGCCTGATGAAGGGGCCCTTCGTGGACTCAAAACATTGCTGTTTGTTTGACCATAATGTTGAGATGTCAATAAAGGCATTTCGGACAAAGATCCTTGGTGCGCTAGTGACATACTCTATGTCTGAGGCTAGGTTCACATATCGGCGATTGTGCACGATTGCACAAAGTGATTGCTGCACAGCCCTATTGATTTCATTGGGGTTATATCGCGGCAATAGCTGAAAAAGGTACATGTACCTCTTTTTGCTACATGCACCGTGCGTTTTTTTCAACGGATCGCCCTAGTGTGAACCTAGCCTAAAAGCCTGGGACACATTGGTGACATAGTGGCAGGCAGGGGGAACCACACTGGATGCAGTAGGGGGCGCATGCATCCGGTGTACTTGGAAGTGTCAGATGCTTAAAGTGACATTAAACTCATGAGTTAAATCTAATACTAATAACAAAACTGGACCTTATTTGTGTATCACTCAGCTGTAGATCCTCAAATCATCTCTGAATTCATACTGACACTGTCCTTCCTTCTGGAGGCAGGCTTCTTTTGTTCCCCATGGTGCATGTGTGTGTTGTAAAGTAGCCATCACTCCAAGCTCACTCCCGCCGATGGACTACAATGTCACATTTAGTTAGTTCATTTGTATTGAATTTATAGTCCATCACAGGAGTGAGCTTGGAGCGGTGGCTACTTTGCAACACCCACATGGACCATGGATGAACAAAAGTAGCCTCCCTCCAGAAGAAACGACAGTGTCAGCATGAATGCAGAGATGATTTCAGGATCTACAGCCGAGTGATACACAAATACGGTCCAGTTTTGTTAATAGTTAGGGTACTTGAATGCGTTTTTAAGATTTAACTCCTGAGTTTAGTGTCACTTTAAGATACCAGGAGACCGGTAGAGGATGTAGCTCTGCAAGAAATAAAAAAAATTGTAGTCACAGAGAGTGATAGAAATACATGATACATATTGGCTGCGGTGCCTTTGACTTCAATGCACCGCCACACCCCCTCCCGCTCCAGAACGAAGGGGGGAGTTTAAAGTGCGATTACAGTGCTTTCCAGCAGCTACCACTCTAGAACGCACCGCAATTGGTGTGAACTGGCCCTCAATGAGCTATTGCGTCCAGCAATAGTTCACTTTTAGAAGTGATCTGCTGCTGAACAGCTGAATGGGTCTCCATTGACCAGATCCAGAACCTCCAAGACAAAAAAGGGAAATTAATAAACAAAAAATAAAACAACTACATTTTATATATTTATTATTATATAAATGTACGGTATATCCTAAAATTAAATAAAAAGGTTCCCTCTCCAAATTAATGTTGTGATCAGGACCTGATCGAAAGCTCAGTGTTAATCTATGGGAGTCGGATGTAAACGGACCTGAATGGAGGTAATCAAATGTAAACTAACACATGTCCGCTTGCATCTGACTTCCCATAGACCTAACACGGGTCTGGTTTGTTCAGTTTTTTCCTGTACTACAGGATGGAGGAAAAAAATGAACAGACTCCAATGTCACAAGAGTGACATCCGTTCCATACTGCTCCAATCAGCAGGGGATCTATGCACTACCTTCTTCAACCCCACCCAACACATGAAATGGCAACCTAGGATTTTATAATGATGGACTACCCTTACACTTTACCTCTGTTGCATGGTTGCTGCCGGAGGCAGCCAAAATGTTTTCTGGGTTAGAGGGGATACTAGGGATTTTGAGGAAGCTCACCAATGTGACAACAAACACACACATATATCAAAAATGCTGTGAATCACTGAACCACTTATCACCTATAATCTGTGAAACTTGGAAAACTGGCTGGATTTGCGGTAAGTTCTGACTCAACCCCACTGTCTTGTATGATTGTGTTATCTTTATGTGGGGCAATGGACCATAAGGCTTCCTCATGTGTTGTTTTAAGGGCTCCTAGTCTCCAGCCCAAATGTGCTGTTTCAGATTTAAGACTGTCTATATCCTGCACGGGTTTGCCAGCCTTCCACAAGGCTGGCAAACCCCTCAAGGTTAGTTTGGTTTGAAGGCCTTCATATAAGTTTTAAGGTCCCAGTCAGGGTCATCATTATCAGCATCTGAGGTGGCATAGTCTGAGCCTAGAAACTTCAGAGATTCATGAGGGGAGAGGTTGCTCCCCTTGTCCAAAAAAGATAGGACCGAAGTGGCTGAGAATGTACCTCTCGGTTTGCTGCCTGCTTTTGGTCCCTCTGATCCAAAGAAAAGTAGTTTATGGCTCCTTTTCAGGGTTCAGGAGTGCACTGGGGTAGGGGAGAGTGCCTATTTGCTGGCCATATCAGTATCACACGTTATGGATGCAGAGTTAGATGGGTAGAGCAGGAGCCTAAGATAAGCACATCCGTATTCATGCATGTCCAAGCCACACACCCCTAGACGCAAGGTTTTAAACAAATTAGAATGAGTTCCACTTCAAATCACTAAGTATTTTAATGAGCTCCCAAAAGGTTCTTAATGGTTGCAAGTTATTAACAGCCTATTCTCTAATACAGGGCTATGCATTATCGTTGGACAATCCTGAAATGAATCCTTTAATTCCTGTGGTTTTACAAAATAGCAAAGACGTCCTTTTTGGAAATCTTCAAGAGATCTACGAATTTCACAAAAGGTATTCCAATTTCTATCATGGCGTCAGTTGTTTCGTTCAGAGTGACTTGTTCTGTTATTTTTCTTTTCTTTTTATATCATGTTATCATAAATATCTGAATATTTTATGTTACTGAATAAAGGTTTTAAAATTAGTTCATTTGGCCGTTTCCATTCAACAACAACAATGTTGAAGTATGACATGACAAGAAATTTGTAGGATCAGTATGAGGTTATCACGACCTCTCTTAATCTTTTTTTTTCTGAGCCATTACAGAATACCACAGTTTAAAGAACTCTAATAGCCCTTAAAAGCTGATCCAGCTGGGACTCATACAATTAAATAAAATATACATTGCCTGCAGCCTGTTCTGCAAAAACAGTTAAATATCACTGGCAATCAACAAAAAGGGTCACGAGGAACTCATAGGAGCTGAAGGCAAAACTTTTATTTTATTTTTTTTTAATTGTGGTGAGGTTTTAGAACCCTTGTCAGGTTTTTCTTGTTGCCTGTATCACCATTGTCACTGCTTAGATTGTGGGAAAGTTGTTGCAGGAAATAGAGGGAACTATTCCAATGGGGGGCACTTATTTTGATGACAGCTATATAAGAGTGGATTTATCTCACTTTGCAGATAATTGAGGTTTGATTGGATGATGGAAGTCAGCAGAGCTTTACCTCTCTTTTAAGATTCCCATACACTGGCCGAATTTCGGCCGGTTTTTAATGTACCAGCCGAAATTCACAGTGTGTTTGGGGCTGTCGGCTCCCTTTCAGCCGGCATTCCTTGATCGTGCGATCAGAGCCAGCAGCCAATGAGCTGCCCGCTCTGATCGGGTTTTCTGACAAGTGCCAGCAGGACCTGCCAGAATGCAGTGCAAACAGTGGCAATTCCTTGATCGACACGCTGTTTGTGTTAATGGAAAATCACGTACATTTCTTTTGTTCAGCCCGCGGGTTGAACAAAAGAAATTGACAGGGGTATGGCCAGCTTAACTATGCTGAAGAGAAAATCTCTGCAAAGTACAAATTCTCTTACAAAGTGAACCACCTATTTGTCTTTAGTAAATCAGCCCTTGTCCAACTTCATGTTGTGCATATAGGGCAGGAAGGGAGAATTGAGATCTCTCAAGTGGGACTAGGATGGCAAAAAAAACAGAAGTTTTAACCCTGCAATACCCTATCCAAATATGAAAATATGGTTTTCCTTAGATATATTTAATGGCTTCCCATTGCAACTCTCCTTTTAATGAATTAATAAATAAAAAATTGGTTATTTGCTTATGGTGACTTCACAATTACTACTGGAACCATTTATGTTTTTTTTTTCCAGTAATGATTTTTTTTCCGCAAACATCCCTATTTTCTGAACCCTGCAGGATGTGTAGACTTCAAGCAAAACTCATAGTGTGTTCCAAATTTACATCTTATGGCAGGGGTGGGCAACTCCGGCCCTCCAACTGTTCTGGAACTACAAGTCCAATGAGGTATTGCAAGACTGGCAGAAGTTACAGGCGTGACTCACAGAAGCAGAGGCATGTTGGGATATGCAGTTAAAGCACAGCTGGAGGGCCAGAGTTGCCCACCCCTGCCTTAGTGGGCAGGCTCTGTTAGTCTAACGAAATCTAGTTACTGCCTTTAGTGCACCTCATAAGCTGACAGCTGACCGACTCTTGCTCAGAGTGCTTTTACTAACTGCAGCAATTGTGAAAAGACGGCAAAGGCCTCTCCCTGCAAAGCTCTCAAAGGAGAGATCATGTACAACTGCCTTCTAACAAGTAATAAAAACATATTTTTTCTACCTAGTTTCTCAAAGCATGTACATCAATAATGTCAATGTATTTCTTACAGTTAATGTTCATTACAGTGAAGCAATATTGGTTTTGGGTTTATTTAATTTTTTTCAAGTTTATACATTTGTAAACTGTTTATATTATTTTGTATTATCTATAAAGAAGTTTTATTTTACAGATACCTGTTTTATACAGGATGTACCTGTGACAGTGCTACAGAGCACAAATCAGGGGGAAGGACTCACTCCTCTGATCCATTCAGCTGTAGGTTTAATTTGTGTTTCATCTATTAACTTTAAAAGGAGGCTTTTTCTACCAAAGCAGTTAAAGCAGAACTCTGCAGAAAACTTTTAATAACCCTTGCAGTGGGGCTACCTGTGCACTGCAAGGGTTAACTGCTCATTTGTATCTAGTGAAGAAAATAACAAAGCTATACTCACATGATCTTCAGAGCCGGCCGACTGTGACAGCGCTCACTCCAGCCTGTCTCTTCCACTGCTGCAACAATAGTATGTCCCTTGGCGTTCGCACGTCCTATACACTGTGTATAGAATGTGATCACTCAGGGACCTTAGACCAGTGCTCCCCAACCTTTTTATCACCGCGGACCGGTCAACGTTTGATAATTTTACCGTGGCCCGCTGAGGGGGGGACTTTGATTGTTTATATTTTAGATTGTTTTGATTTAATAATTTTAATTTAATTGTATTTAAATATGCCTTCAAAATAAAATGCAGTTACACCAAAAAATGAAAGCGTTGGAATTCTTCACCTATTCCACCACCGAAAAACTGGGCAAGATTACGTTAAAATGTGTGACCACGTCACTAGTCACACATTCTAACGTAGTCTCAAACTTTGATAGATCACATGCCTACCTGTAATCATTTAATCAGAGAAATAGATTATCATAGGGAACATTACAGTGTAATATTCCCCATTATAATCCCCTTGTCTAATTACAAGAAAAAGCATGAAATAGCTGTACACAACTACTATCCCCCCCGCCCCCCGCCACATATCTATGACCCCTTTACAACCCCCCATCCACATATCTATTAGGCCTCATTCACACACGAATCGGCCTGCACGTACAGCTCCGTGCTGCGTGTGGGGCCGTACCAAGTAGCTGCCGGGAAGGACAGGTGCTGCGTGTGATTAGAACGCAGCCCCCGTCCTTCTCTATGGGGCTACGCGGGTGATCGTATCCATACGCCTGCATCCTCATGACACAGTCTGTGTTACTGATTAGCCTAGAAAAAAAGTGTTTCATTAAATCAATATGCCCTGAAAAGCAGAACAACATACTCATTCTTCAACATCCCAAATTAGGGGCATAACTACAAATTAGGGGGCTCATAACAAAACTGTGAACTCCCTTCGCCTGGCTGGCAGTGTCAACTGTGACATTATTTGTCATTGATCTTAACAGTATGTATCAAGGACAGGCAGCAGGAGAGCTGTCAGCATAGTCAGTCCCCTACTAGTACAAAGTTATGGTAACACTAAAGTTAATAACAACCATAATGGTATTTTATATTATATTAAAACCCTTGCAGTGGTAGCCCCACTGAAAGGGTTACGATTTCATTTGCCCAGAGTTTTTCTTTCTTACTCTTGCACACACTTCCTCTTCAACACTAATACAAACTTCTTTAAAGACGAACTCTGGGCAAAATTTGTATTAACCCCGCACTGCAAGGGTTCACTGCTCATCTACAGTATGTCTAAAAAAAAAAGTTATATGCACCCGAACTGCTGAGCCGGCTCCCTGCTTCTCTGAAGCCTCTCTCTTCCTTTGCTGCAGCATTGGAATGTTCCTCTGCATCCTCATGCCTATACATTGTGTATAGAATATCATGATTTATGGGACCTTAGATCACTGCAGAGGAGGGGGAGTGAGGCTGGAAGGATCATTCTAATGCTGGGCACACACCTTACAACCATCGCAAGACTTTTGTCTTGCGATGGTTGTAAGGTAATTAAAAAAACGTACGATCTGCCCATCTTGGACAGGCAGATCGTACTTGCGACGTGCGGCCCGTGCGGCATTTATCTTACGAACATGCCACACACACGCCGACAATCGTACGATTCTCGGCGGGTTTTCGAACATGTTCCTAAGATAAAAGTCGTGCGACCTTACAGTAGCAAAGGTCGCACACCTTCCACACACCTTGCGATAATCGTACAATTGCGGGAATTCCCGCGATTATCGTACGATTATCACAAGGTGTGTGGGCACCTTAAGAGGGAGCTGGATCCTAGGATTGAGTATAACTTTTTTTAGCACCTAGTCAAAAATGAGCAGTAAACTATTTCAGTGCGGGGTAGCGGAATTTTGCATGTTTCTTTGTATATCTGTGTTTGCAACCTGAAAATGCAGAGTGTTTTTGTATATATTTTCTTTCTTTCCTTCTTTTTTGTACAGTACATACTGTACTGTATGCGTAGAGAGGGAGGGAGTTTCACATAGACTGGAAGGGATAAAGTGTCTGTCAGGTTTTTATGGCAGTCTGCATCCCTGTTTATGCAAATTTTCCCTCACTTCCTGTCAGGACAAAAATACATTTTTAGTAGAGTAAGGAAGTCTTGGCACTTCTGACAATGTTTTAATTGTTGTTGGTGCCTTTCTGTCCCACTTATTACTTGTAAGGGTATCACAGAGACAAGAAGTGAGGGAATATTTCCTCAATGAGATCATAGACAGAAAAAAAAACTGACAAAAATGTTAACTCTTTCCAAAACTAAAAAAAAATAATTGTGGCTGGAGTCAGTTTAAGCCAAAGGCATTATCACTGATTCATTAGTGTTTAAAATCTTTTTTTAAACTTATTTTTTCCAGAACTTTTCTTAAAGAACTGGAGAATTGTACTGAAGATACTGATTCACTTGGAAGATGTTTTCTGAAAAGGGTAAGATATCTGTCTTCTAATTAATTTACAGTCTAAAGCTGCCAAATGATTTTAGAGGGTAGTCGTCTGTGCCAGGTACATAACAGAAACGTACAGGGTTGGCTTTGCCAACATACAGGTTTATGTCAATGCAATAGAAAAGGAGAAGGAAGAGAGTAGCTCAGCCCACCCTGAAGAAGTCCACTGGACAGTAGACAGAACGCTTTGCAAGCTTAATAGCCCTCAAGCAAGTGTTACCAAGTGACGCTTGGTGCTGTCTGCACCATTTGAATAGCATGGTACATAAATATGTCTTTCCACAAACTGGTAACTAACATGATTAATGTGCAAGGTGTGAGCATGACCTCGGTTCAAGGATGACCCAGAAGAGCAGGATCCACTTGCCACCCCAGCACAAGGATTGGAATATTGCACCGAAAACTCCACCATAATGCCATCATTAACTGGTGGGTGTACACTGTGCAGGCAGTAAAAAAATGTGAGCTGGAAAGCAAATCCATCTCAGTCAGTTTTTGAATGCTTTTTAGATATTATAGGGATGCCAAGGTCTGAATAACATTTATTGATATCATTCAGTTAATCAATGCAGCTGATGCCTTTTCAACTGCTGCACTATGGATGTATTGCCATTATAGCATTCACAGTGTGATGATCTTCTGGTCCTCACTGGTACACTTAGTGGTTCCCCATGCCAACCTCTACATCACTACAGAACACAGTAGATTGAAATTCTCAGAAGGGTCATTTTTTAAAAATCTGGCATATGCACAGGGAGAGGTAAGTATTTACTTCTTTTTAGTTAGTCAGGTCTACTTACTGTAGGCTCCTCTTGTGCCCATGCTGCTTACAGCAGATTTTGTAACAGAGATACAGTGACACTATAGAGAGTCAGGTTTTTTTTTTTACTAACCTCTCCACTTTTGTAGCAATAGTAGCCAAAGGAAACACAGAAGGTTTCATAACCCTCCTGCTGCTACCAATGACCTAGAGTGCTAGATTGTTTACTTGCAGTGCAACCTTAAACATCCTGAACACTACTAGAGGCAAGCAAGCAGGTAGGACAAACATAAATTAAATATGGCTACAAGCTTTTCTAAATAAACAGGTTCTTTGTCCTCTAATCCTTACTATTTTGTCTAGTAACTGGCATAGCATAGCAACGTCTTTGTCCATTTTATCCTTTAGACGAGCTGTAAAGTAGTCAAAAAACATAATATAGTACATGTTGTCAAAAAAGTGTCTAAGAGAATGCCGTTATATCAAATTTTTATTTTGTCAATAACCTACTGTTCAATGGGTAAAAACAATGGTTTCCAGGTGCGAATAGACTCAATCTATTCCAAAGGCTAAGCATTAAGTGGTGTTGTATATGAATTACAACAATGTACTTTTAATGTAAAACTTTTTTTGTCAGTTTAAGATCATACAATAGATTTTCTGTAGTTTAAAAGTGAAAATTTTCATACCCCTATTCCTAATCTCTATTTTCATGCCCTTTTTCTACATTAAATATTTGACATTATTTGGCCTATTTCTGACTGATGTGATTGATTTTTGACAAAATCAATGTGTCATTTTGACATCCCCCCCCCGACCGCTCCATGTCAGCAAACAAATGGGATGGCTCCGCCTCCCTACCGATCTGATAGGCTCTTAACTCTTAAAAATTACACCCCCAGCAGCATCCAGCTCATTCTACACGTGGCATCTCCCCCTCGTGGGCGGTCTATAATTTTGTGTCACCTGAGACTATATGTAAAGCGGCCACATGGTCCTCGGTGCATACATTACATTCATGAAACATTACTGTGTCGAGCCCGCTGCGTTAACTACAGTTGGCTTTAGACACAGTGTTATTTCCTTGGTTCTGTTTGAGATTAAAAGCAGCATTTTTTTGGCATTACCCGCCCGTGTGTTTGGTCTAGTTATTTCTTCTTTGTGTGCTGACATGGAGCAGTCGGGGAAAACAGGACAATTGTATTTCATACTTACCGCAATTTTCCTTTCCTGACCACTCCATGGCAGCACATGGTTCCCGCCCAGCCGGAGTGCTTGTGACGTAATGCTGGATGCTGCTGGGGGTGTCATTTTTAAGAGTTAAGAGCCTATCAGATTGGAAGGGAGGCAGAGCCGTCCCATGTGTGTGCTGCCATGGAGCGGTCAGGAAAGGAAAATTGTGGTAAGTATGAAATATAATTTTCCTGTTTTGCTTTCTGATTCTTTTTATATCAAGGAGAGAAGCTAGTGTAAAACAGGGCAAAATAAAGTATAGCCAACCAAGAATAAATTACCTGTTAAACCCCTTAATGTGGCAGATTCAAAGTTGTTATACAGTAAATGAAAAATGCAGGTCATAACAATCCCACTTTTTGCTATAAGGAAAAACAATCTGAATGTGTGTAACCAATGGTTAAGCAGAGACAACAAATGTCAACAAATAAAATGGTATTTATCTCTAAAAATTTGATGTGTTATGTGGTATGCATTATACACATGACGTGATGTACCTGATTTGAGTCTGAGGTGACAAGAAGAACCTTCCTTTGCAGCACGGGTCTGAGCGCCCCTGAGAGTGTAACAGGGCCAAACAGACTTTGTGAGGCACGGGTCCCACTGGGTAGAAATACTGGAGACACCAGAGTAAAGCACCAAGCAGGTAGTCAGCCAGAAGCATGCAGGATATCAGGAATTCAGAGAAGCAGAGTCAGAGCCGAGCTGGGTCAGGCGAGCTGTGCAGTACAGAATCAGAAGACGGAAGCTGGAAGCAGGAGATCAAGCCGTGCAGGATAAATGGTTCCAAATCAGCAGGCAGAGAGCAGCAGAGTCAGAGGATCAAGCCGGGTCAGATACAGGAACATTCAGGAATCAGGAATCAATGCTAGACACTAGCTGAAGAACTCTCAGCACTGAGTGCTTGCAGGATGCAAGTTTAAATAGGCCCTTTTCTGCCATGATTAGACGTGAGCACGTGCACGCCAATCTGCGTGAGTGCCATTGCGTGTGAACACATGCATCAGGGTCCGAGCGCATGCGCACGATTATGACTATTACTAGCACGAAACCATTGCACATGTGCAATGGCTCTCACAGTACCAATTCTGATTGCTTGCTGGGCTTCCCTGACCATGACACTGTAATTTCTGCAATATACATTCTAATGCGTAACATATTATTTTTTCATATAGAAGGAAGACCTTCAAATTTATGAAAAATACTGCCAAAATAAACCAAGATCAGAAGCCCTATGGAGGCAGTGTGCTGAAAGCATTTTTTTCCAGGTAAGTGACAATCATATCCTATGTGGTTATCAAGGCCGGACGTAAGGGGAATCTAACCAGGACAAAAGTAGCAATTAAATCACTTTTTTAGTAGCACCAGGAAGGGTTGGTCTGTGCTCCAAAAGGAAGATTCCCCTCACTTTCGGTGTGGTCATCAAAATAGTAATTGTGGAAAATCATGTTAACAAGAACACAAAGAGCAAATGAACACCGGACACAGATTCTAGTTTTTACTCACCCTCTCAAAACTACAAAATAAATGTTTTTGGTTCCAGTGTAATAGTTTTAATGTACAGATCTATCCAGCTCTGGCATTAAAAACTGCTTAACATTTTCTGTTTAAACTGAAGTCCAGCTCTGTCTACAGCTGTCTGCTATAAAATATAAAAGTTATTACCACTTAAATACTTTGCAGATTAGGGTGTGTGAGAATAAATGCCCTCATAACTTCTCACTGCCAGATTAAAATATTGCTGTCCACTTGTCATTAAAAAAGCTGAAGCTGTTGTACAGTAAAGATTCCCATATACTGTACATATACTGTACATATACATATACTGTACATAACATTGGGTACTTTTAGATGTAATCCACTGCTAATCATGCAATCTGTGATTTCAGATTTTGTGGCTCACATATTTGCTGGAAAACATGATTGAATGAGGATCAGTGGGTATACAACACCACATTTGTTATTGTCCTCTACATCTGAACATTTGACATGGGTATCTAATGTGCAGATTGATCAGATGTGGCCATCAGTTTGAATGCTAATATCTATTAAAGACTGGGTGTCATAGCCATATGGGTATTATTAGAAATGCAAGCGAAGACTGGTGTCATGGTTCCCTACTTTAAAGCTATTATAGTCATGATCAGAATGATTTGCCATCACAAAAGGCCAAAGCTCAGTGGCAAAGCCTGAGGAGCGGGTTGTTGGCTATACTTGTCTAATCTCATTTAAATAGTAGGTCCAACAGATGGAACATTGTTAAGTGATCAAGGTATATGTTGTAGGATTATGCATGGTCATTTAAAGTAATGTAAGGGCTATGTTACTGGATTCAGCTAGGGGATTACTTAAAGGTTAAAGGCTGCTTTAAGTGTATCTAAATTCTGCCTCACACCCAATTTTTTACATATAGAGTCTCTTAAACGGGGATAAACACAACATAATGATCTAAGATGGCATTTTTTCTGGTAGGAGTCTCCACCATCTGGTCCATGAAATTGTCGCGCAACATGTTTAGAAATCGCCCCGCCTTTGCCGAACCCGAAGTTCCATTGGCCCAATTGATGTCTGGGTAATTGAAGTCACCCATCACGACTACATTGCCCTCTCTTCCAGCTATTCCTATCTGTGTGACAAAGGTTCTAACCCTTTCCCATGCTATTCAAAACTATAGATACAATTTAACTGACTATCAATCCAAGTTAGCATGTGCTTGCCTGCCTATCCTGTGTGTTTTCTGCAAGCTGTATCTGATATTGGTGCCAGACATGTGGCCCTGAATGCCTTTGATTTGGCTGTCACTAAACTATATGAAATAAATACGATTGCAATTGCATTCACAATCAACCCTGTTATTTCTTAAGGCAGTGGAACAAAATGTTTTCTTTTGTTTGCTTTTTGTAATAAATATTGCAGATTGTAGCGCACAATTTGGATAGGTCTTGGGGTAGGAATATATTTTGAACTTGTAGAGGGGAGAAGTACCTGAGTTCCATTTTGGTTATTTTGTGCCTGATTTACTAGTTATAATAATTTTTGGGATGTTGAACAAATGCGTCACAGTTTGTTTGTTTGTTTTTGTCATGGAATGGAATTAATAGGGCACATGTTCATATATAGTACAAATTAAAGTTACCGTATTTGCTTAACACATTTTAAAATTTACCAGGCTATCACATCCTTTGTTAAAATATTGCCAAACCAACTCTCAACAAATGAATGGTTGAACATAGGAGGGTAAATTCTACAGGTCAACAAGTCAAGGCCGTTTTCCTACACCTTAAAGAAAAGGGAACTAGTTTGCAAGAGGCGTGAAAGAGGCCGTTTATGTCAAACTGTAACAACCATCCCTTAACAGGGGTGGGGGCCATCATCTATCTTAATCTGGTCACATGTTACAATCTGGTTGTACAATCTACATACAAACCCCTTTAGATTGACCAAAAACTGTGTATTGTTAGGACCTACTCAGCTAATCTGTTCAAATATATATCCAAACATGCAGTCTCTCAATCTAGATACCTTTACATATTTCTTGCTAAATCTAAATGACCTAGTATGGAGAGTGAGGGTCTTCATGATCAAATACCTGGGTAGGTCCTCACACTCAGATTAACACACCTAAAACTAAATGCATGCACAAGAGCGTACCCATAAACCATGATAAACTGCTTGCAATCCTTTCCCAAGAAGGTATATTTGCTAAATGTGTCAGACTTGTAGCATGGGTACCTATATGATGAATGACCAGGAGTTTGAGATAACAGTTAGCGCTGAAGTGCTAAACTCTGAATGTTTAATCAGTCAGATGGAAAAAGATGGCATTTGTAGCATCATCATATACCATGGTGTAGTAACATGGTTCTTAGCAGAGGAAAAGTACTACACGTGGCTGACCACAAAAGAAAAATTACAGATGCAACTGTAAGCTATTCAGAAAAAAAGTAGGAACAATAAACTATTAAATATTTGACTTGCACATAGAATGTTTAATGTATAAAATGTTAAAGGAGAACTATGGGGTTAGGGCTTTTCACCATAGTTCTCCTAAGGGTAACGGGAGGCCACAAATTAGCGCCCTCCCGTCACCCAAAACTCAGTATACAGTGCTACAGCTCGCGGTATACCGAGACGCCGCAGCCGGAACGGATCCCAACAATTGTGTCTGGATCCACCCAGCTTGGTGAGTGACAGCTTGCTCTGCCTATCTAGAGGCAGAGCCAGCTGTACCCGCCCCCTCCCCCGTTCGTTCCTCCAGTTAGCGCTGGAGAATCGGACAGTGGAGGGGGAATCCAGTCCCTCCCCTGTCACGGCTCTCTGCCGGCACATGATCGAGAAGTAAGCCAGCGCCGGTATGTGTTTGCTCACTTCCCGTTCTACTGAGCCGACCTGTGACAGTTTCATTGTCACAAGTCGGCTCAGATTATGAGGCTGAGTGAAAATCACTCACCTCATAATTCTCCTTTAAGTAAAAACAAACAAATTCCTGAGTTTAAAGTAACTTTTTTCCCAATATATACAGTTCCATAGATAAAACTACCGGTGTAAAAAAGGATCATTAGAGATTTGAATTCAAGCAAATTTACCTTTTGCTAAAGTGTACACAACACTTGGTCATTATCCACTGAATGGTTTATGATAAAATGCTGATCTAATCTCATTTTCTCAAAGGAATGTCAACGAAAATTGGATCACAAACTTTCTTTGGATGCCTATCTCTTGAAACCGGTCCAGAGAATCACAAAGTATCAGCTGCTTTTGAAGGTAATATTTGATAGTTTTACTTACATTTTATGCCAATATTTAAAAATGTTTTTTTAACTTATATACTAAGACAATGCAAACAGCAGTGATGGCCTAGAATTTTGCACAAATGATCACTCAGAAAAATAAAGATAAATGCTTATTGGTTGTTATGGTGACTGTGCTTTGCACACTGCTTTTAGTCTTTATAAAATCCATATTATTCCATGTTAAACTCCAACCAAAACCTTTTTCAGTTTACATACAGCAGAAAGAGAATTCAAACTTCTAGAGTTTTTACTACTGTCCTGCACTGAGATTTCCCTTCACTTTCTGTACCAAAGGCAGATGTCACTCAGACAGGTGTTCCGTTTAGAAGGTTCCCCCTTCTCTGATGACAGCTTTCAGAAGAGGGATTTCCCTACTAGGACATGAAGTGAAGAGGAATCTACCCAGGAGGAATACAAACAACATTAAAAAAATTTACAGAAGTTGTTATGTTTCCCATTGTTTTCAAAAACTACGTAAACATTTTAGTTAGGGTCAGTCAAAGCTTCAATAAATACCTGGCGTTAGTGGTCTTTTTGCAGAGATCTAACAGCCCTTCACCCCCTCTCCCAAGATTGGACCTCATTGGACCAGAGCAAACAAAGCTTTTTTTGTTAACTTCTGTAGAGAAGGTATGAAGTAGAACCTTCACCTCCTGTCCCAGTGACCGCTGATGGAGTGGGAGGAAATGAATGAGTAACTTTCTCTGTAAAGCTATAGATTAAGAGGTCAGTTTAGTCGTATGTAAGGGTTCCTATTCTGCCTATTTTATTATGCTCTGTAATTAAGATTGATCTCAATTACCTGGTTATTTGTATATATATTATATGTGCTCACTGTGCCTCAACTGGAAACATTAACTAAACAGATTTCTATGGAATCAGCATTGGGAATATGGCTTGAAGAAAGATATTTTTTATGACTACATCCTGAGTGTGGTTGCCATAGGAGATTTTTCCAGAGAACTATTAGAAATTATAATTTGAGGTCCTGCTATACAGCGACTGTTCACTAATTGGCGCTTCGTGGTGGAGGTTCCAGTGCAAAGCTTATTTATGAGTAGATGTGAAGGTAACCTCTGCGTCCATAAGCTGTTTAAGATTGTGTTTTGCCCTGCACTCTGTTTTATGAAATCAAGAAATAAGAACCTGACACCATAACATTGCTCCACTCAGTGGTATCAGTTGAGCTTTAACATAACCAGTAAGGCTATTCTACATATGTCATGACTGTACCCTCACTTTAAGTAGCCATCGATGTACTGTATATAATACATTATGACAAACTATTAAAGAAACCGTTTATGAGAAAGAAAATAAACTTTTTTTATTTGTTCACTTTAAGGTCTGTTTATGAACCATTTTAAGTGTTTTATTATATATGTTCAATAAGTAAAAAAATAAAAATGGAGGAGAGGGGTGGTGTTCTGTAGTCCTATGTTGACAATGCTGCTACTCTATAGATACAGTTTGGTAAGTACTTGTCACAGAAGGACAGAAAGTGTGTGACAATCAATGAAAGAAAACCCTGAAAAGCTGTGATATATAACATGTATGTTCTTGAGTTTAGATAAACTTTGAGATAAGCATTCTGCTCTGAGGTACATACCAGGCTAGGCCACTGATTTCTGAACTGGTTAGATTTTGCATGTTTAACTGTTGATTGTTTCTAAAGGGTATTCGTCTTTCTTTCTAGGAAATGCTAAAGTGCAGCAAGAATTCAGAAGGCACAGCAGAATTAGAAGAAGCTCTCGCAACTGTACTAGATATCATCAAATCAGTCAATGATTCTATGCATCAAATAGCCATTACTGGATATGAGGTACAATACCATGACACATGTCTTTTTTCTTTAATGAAAAAAATATTTTTAGGATTTTTTCATGCAATTGACTAAACCACCATGGCCATGTTAGTGTGCAGTGTGGTGCAGAAAGTAGATGTATAGTTTAGTAACACAACTGTCATGGACAGCAGCTTCAGGGTCAGCGTAGACAAACAAGTGTATGCCACACTGCCAACTGATGGTGAAAGACCCTCACCAGGATTCAGGTTCTAGAACCCCTGGTCTTCACCAGAGCTGGTAAATGTATGGATGGATGTTGTGAGGTATGACAACTCTCAGTATGTGACCCACAGAGTTTCGTTGCTGGACAGCTGCAGACAAACAGAGAGCAAATGGGTAATAGTGCACAGCAGGCAGAGAGGAACCATCGTAATTAGTATTAAGAGGATACAGTGGCAGAACTATCGCCATAGCTACCGAAGCGGCCGCTATGGGGCCCGGGGAACAAGGGGGCCTGGCCGGGACCAGCAGCAAAGGGGCCCCCCAATGCTGTGCCAGCTGCCTGGGTCTCTTTGGCATCGTAGGCTTCAGGACGGTCACTGGCGGCTGTGAGGAGGAATGCGCCACTGTCCAGACCTGTCAGTGATCTGTGTAGCGGCGCGTTCCTCCTCACAGCCGGTGCTGAGTCAGTGACAGCCAGCAGCTGAGGTGGAGGAGGTGGAGCCCAGCGGTGGCTGCACCAGTGGCGCTGGTGGAGGTAGCCGAGGAGGTGTTCTGTCTTTGCAGACATCAGCACTTGCGCATGCGCACAGACCGGGATTAACGAAGAAACAGGTATTTATTCACAAAGTATTTTGTTTTAATGGTTAATTGTGACCGTAATAATATACCATCCATGGCAGTAAATGATGGATGGCATTTTATTCGCATTTACAATTAACATCATAAGCAATTACATTATTATGTAACTTGTGATCCCCTACTAATTGAATGAATGGATTAATGACTGAATGGATGTCACTTTTGTGAGATCTGCATCTCTTTAGGTTTTTTTCTCCATCTTAGATGGAGGAAAAAAGCTGAAATAGCGCAACCCATGTTCTTTTTGTGAACCTAGATGGAGTCAGGGGTAATCAGATGTGAACAGATGCACATCTGTTTACATCCGACTGCCCTCTAGAGTTGCATTAGGCTTTAAATCAGATCTGCCTGAAAACCTCACAGGTGGATCTGAATAGTCCACACCAATTTGACTAAAAGCAGCTATGGCAAGACACTGACTAGAAAAAGGCACAGAAGAGGCTTTTCTGGCTAATAGAGGAAACCGGCTCCTTCAAATTTCCCGAATCATTCTCACAAATATGCCTTACATGTGCATAATTGCAAACAGTAAACTTAATTGGCAGCAAAAACAACAAAAAAGCCAATATTTTATTATACAATTATAAAGTCACAACTTTCTAATAGGTATACAGTATATAAGGTTAGGTATAATTTTGCTGGCAGTGTTTGCAGATGTACCCCTATGCACTGCTGCCTTCATCAGCAGCAGCCCCAACAGCTGAAAAGCCATAAGATGTCTTTTTTATTAAAATTTTTCTTTTAATTCTATAGAGACAGCAAAAATGGTATCTGTGTCACTCACCCCACCAAGCGAATGGCCTCCTCTGTCTTAACTGTGGTAAACAAGGGGGGCAGGTAAGACCCTCATTGCTTTACACACAGGTTGGCAACATTTAATCCAATTATACAGTTGCAGACTGGGCAGAACTGGTAAGCTGCACGAAAATGCCATTTAATTTAGTTGTATGTGTGTTCTTTTTCCACAGGGGGATCTCTGTGAACTAGGGAAGCTTCTAATGCAGGGCTCGTTCAATGTGTGGACCGACCACAAGAAGGGCCATAATAAGGTGAAAGATCTGGCCAGATTCAAGCCAATGCAGAGGCATCTCTTCCTGTATGCCAAAACCCTGCTTTTCTGCAAGAAGAGGGAAGAAAGCACTGAGGGACACGAGAAGTCACCTTCCTATAGTTTCAAGCATGCTCTGAAGGTAATGTGCAATTCTGTTTTAGATTTTCGTGTGTGTAGTTCATCAGTAAAGTGTATCTCTAGCCAATTTTTTATTTTTTTTTAGGTGTGGATAGAGCGGTGGAAGGTTAGGACCTCTGTTAGCTTTTCATTGCTGTTTTTGGGTAGATTTACCCTCTATTCATTCTAGTGACCAATGTCAAGAGAACAAAATATTGTAGAAAATGAAAAACTTTACAGGTGTTATAAGGAATAAGGGGAAATCTTCTGTTCTGTTAAAATGGTGCGAGAAGGATTTCACCTCACTTTGCAGAGATTTCGGGGGTTATTCACTATTGAACCGACGTATTAAGCTGAAGCTTCGGCTAATCCTTCTGCTCAATTTGGCCGCCTGTATAGCAACTGAAGGCAGCTGAGCCGAAGCATATGCGTTCAGCTCAGCTGAGCCGAAGACACAGCCGAAGTGGGGAGAATAGTCTGCCGAAGCAGGCCATTCTCCCCGCAAAATGTAAACAAATAGTTAAAAAAAAACCTGTGCCGGGTCCCCCTCCCGATTGATACCAGACCCTTAAGGTCTTGCAGGAATGTCAGGAGGGACTCCCCAAGTTAAAAATAAAAAAAACCTTCAGGTCTGGTGGGAATTTTAAGGGGGAACCCCATTGCCAAAAAGAAAAAAAAACAGAGAAGCACCCTCGCAATGCCGAGGAGGGCATGTGGCCTGGAATGTTGCGCGCGTGGGGGAGGGCGGGGGGCGACGACTCGCTCATCTCTTTCCTGCCCTGTCAGGCCAGTGCCCGGGTAAAGAGTCTGGTTGCGAATTTTAGGGGGCACACCACGTTTTTTCCCCCGTTTTTTTGGTGGTGGGGTTCCACCCTAAAGGGCCTGATTTGACTTTTGGGGGGAACCTCACGCACTTTTTTTTTTTAGATTTTTAACTGAGGGTTCCATCTAACATTCCTTCCAGACATACAAGGTGCTGGGTTTTTTCTTCTTTTGTTTACATTTTTTAAAAATTCTGCTTGCTACCTCGGATGTAACGAGCAGCATAACCAAGCTCAGCAACATTCGGCTATTTACTCACTGCTGTCCAGCCCCTGTGAGGATTGGTGCGAATGAACTGCCGTACGCTTGCCTCGGCTGATCCAGATGTTGGATCGGCTGAGGCAAATTAAGTTCTTTACTTCGACTCAGCCGAACTGTTCAGCGGAATCAAAGTGAGCTGAAGGGAGCCGAAGCCAGCAGATGTGTGTCTGAAATCAGCCTTACTCGGCTGAAGTGAATAGCTGAACGGCATTTGGCTTTCACTTCGGGACGGTTATTCACTCAGCTGCCTTTGGCAGTTGAGTGAAAAAAAAACTTACTCTCACTTCCTGTTGTGTTTCAGTAACCAGAAGTACCACCTTATGGCAAGATTACCAGTACTAACATGGTGGTTAACACAATAATCAGAACTCACAATGTTGTCAATTTCATATTGTTATTAGCAGTTCTGGGTCTGAAACATGTGTGCATGGAAATATTTGCTCTTTTTGATACTAGTTGAGAATTATAATAAGGTCATTTAAAGCCCAATTTTGGTCTTAGAAAAAATAAACTAAATCCACAGGGGGAGCAGGATTTTAAAATGTTGTGTGTAATTATTTATTTTAATGCGATCTGGCGTCTTGCCCAAAAGTAAAGGTGGCCATACACTGGTAGATTTTCATACAAAAGTTTATATGAAAAATCTAGTTGGATCATTCGATAATGTCATCAGAGACTTGACAAATGTTTTTCAAAAAACACCATAGATTTTGGAAACTAATGCATTTTCTTGAACAAAAACCACATTCACTGTTAGAATTATATAAATTTGCAAAAAAATGTTTCGTCACTACATTCTAAAACAATTGTTGGTTTGACCCCTTGAACTATTAGAAAATTGACCAAATGCTGGCATTTAATCATGTTACCATCCTTCATGGATGCCTGTAACAGTTATTTCTTCAGGATAATTAAGTATTTCACCCCTGCTTTTTCTCTTTCTTTTTTTTTTATTTTTCCTAGCAGAATTGTAAACATGCTTTTCATGTAACTTTTGACTTCAGGAACAATTTACTGATTTACATTCGACACAACATAATTTTATTCATAGTGATTATTCTTTGTTTTTGGTAACAGATGAGTTCGGTTGGTATCACTGAAAATGTAAAAGGGGATAATAAGAAGTTTGAAGTGTGGTACAATGGCAGAGAAGAAGTGTACATTATTCAGGTAAAACAACGTAGATGGAGAAAGAACGCAAATTCTCCATTGGCTACTATTTTATAATAAGTGCTGGCACTGAAAATGTTGATAAGTAATCTTCCGTGTTATACATATACATCCAGTAGTAGTAAATAGCACTTATGTTTTAATGTCACTGCAGCTGTTCTTTTATTCAGTGTATTCCTTTCCATAGTCCTCCATTGGTCAGGTGGTCCACCATAATGGACCATTAAGCTCTCATTGTGTTTCAGGATTAAAGTTCACTTGTTATTTACATGGTGGACAATACCAGCCAGTGCTGACACAGCTGATGTACACTTACTTGGCCCGAGGCTGGCCCGTCAGTTAGTTCTTGCTTGCAGCTGTGAAGTGCTAGGAGCATGTCAGGGTAAATGGGATGCTTCGCTCACATGTACTCCTAAAAGCGAGCTTGCACCTTGGGCTTGACATCATCACTACATATGACATTGAACAACAGTGATCGCTGCAGCAGAAGCTAACAATAATAACTTACCACTAACAGGACTTGGGTATCATATTTCTTTTTAAGTATGGGACACTTAGAAGTGTATTTAACAACAATTATCAACAATTCGCAGAGCCACGTACTTGTGGAATTGCATGTACATTTGTCCATATAATATTATATCATATTATAATAAACATATTTTGTAAAATTATGTTGTGTATATAAGTTAAGATTAAAGTAGAAGTCTCACTTTGCCTTATTTTACCTAGCTCAGTCTCCTACCTCCTAATATGTTGCTTTTTATCTCATGCTTCTGTGTGATCTACTGCTTCCACAATCTGCAAAGGAGAGGGCCTCTTGACAGCTCTTTTCTCACTGTCCCTGTAATTTACACACAGAAAACAAGACTTCCCTTCCATTTCTAGTCCCTGTGCTGATTCCTGTGACAACATGCCCCCTTCCCCTGCATTCCTGTGACCTCACTAGTGTCTGGAAAGTGCAAAGACAGTGAGATAAAAGCTGTCAATCAAAATGCAGTCTCCTTTGCAGAGTGTGGTCAGGAATGAAGAGGAGGGAGCTGTCAGTCTGTATCTCAGTTTCTATTGCATACAGAATCATTGGATACAAATTAACATACACTGTGGGAGTTAGGTGACTGAGGGGTAGAAAATAATATAAGGTGAGACCTCATCCTTAAAATGTGCAGCAAACTTTGATTTGTTTTTTTCTGTGCATTTTTAGGCATCATCTGTTGAGCAGAAGAACCTGTGGGTAACTGAGATTAGAAAGGTACTAACAGGGCAACTTGAGGCATGCAGAGGTAATTTCTTTTATTTGGAAATAATTTGCAAATCAGTGTTAGTTTATTAGTAAAGATGGTGAATATAAAAATAAATAAATAACAATAATAATAATACAAAAAATCATAATAATCTTTGCTCCCTTTGCTTCCCCCCACCCACAAATTTCTTACAGTGTTAAATCGCTATGATAGTCATGCAGGCAAAACTCTACAAATAGTTTTAGATGGAAGCAAATTATCCTAAAATCATATTATAGGTTTTGGGCAAAAGAGAGCACACAAACAAAACAAACAAACATTAAATACAAACATAATCTGCATTGTATCCCTACTCTATGAAAGCAGGGCTACAGTATTGTAAAGAGTCAGTGTTAACCACTGTGCTTCCCTAGAAGTTTGTACTTGCATTTTCAGAAATATTTAAGTAAATGCAGGAAAATACTGCATCACTTTTTGAGTTTTATTTAACAACATCTCTTTGAAATCAATCACGCATTTGAAAGTTCACCTCCATTCACTCTGATATCTTGCTGTGGCTAGATTACTTTGTGGTGGTTGCAGCAATAGAGGATAATAAACCACATACATGCACACAACGGTTGTAGTTTCCCTGTCTGAATTCATCAGTCATAAAGTTCTGAGTGCTAGGTGTATATTAGTCAGCTATGACAAGTGCTTGCTACTATAATGTGAGTGATTATTTGGTAGTGGTTCAAAATCTTCTATAGGGAAGAAATGAGAGTGCAGCGCATCCTCTAGGTACACAGTAGCGTTTTCAGTAACATAGGTAAAGATGTTATTTTTAATGTCACTAAGCTGAACATGTGTTTGTGAGACCATTGGTGGAATCTATTGTGTGGCACACAACCTGTACACTGATTCCGGGATACATTCTTCAAGGATAATAAAAAAAGAACCCTCACTTTTTAGTTATTCTTTAATATACAGTTATTATAGTTTCCCCAACAATTTGGGCCTTATACACACCAGATCTGTGGTAGTCAACTTGCTAGGAACAGGAGGGCTCAACTGTCGTCCAAAACAGCTCCAAAGGGGCACACATAATATTCAGTATATGATAGAAAACTGTCAGAGACTTCATATATTATTGTGATGTGTCACCGGCACTCCTTACAGCTACTGGGCCTTGATTAATGGGCATGGTGCTCGTAGTGATTGCACGGATGGCGCCGTGTTTTCCAAAATCATAGAAGATGGAGATTACCAGCACTCAGTCAAAAAGCATTAGATTCTATTGCTTATTTATTGAAGAAACATGTCACAAGCATCATTTAGCCAACGTTTAGGGGCCATGCAGGGTCCCTTCTTCAGGGTGACATTGTGACAAAAAGACTTCAGAAATACTAGAGGAATCCATTAGAGTCTGTAGACCTGTAACAGGTTGGAAGACACACTGCAGGAGATAGTGAGAGACTGGGGTCATGGCATATGAGACTGATAGAGGTCACAGTCATTATGGCCTCTTTACAAATAAATGCTGACACTGTTGACTGCTGGGTCCTGCAAAGGGCTGCACAAAAAATACCAAAGGGCCGCATATGGCACTTTTATCTGGTGGGACTTCACTCTCTACATATCAGTTCAGAAGCTGACTTTGATTCACTCATATAGACTGATGTTCACTATGGAAGCTTCTGTCAGAAAGCTTTGACAGCACTGTGTTCCTTGGATATACCTCATGCTATATGGCCTATATTATGTACAGTATGTTTAGCAAACACATACCTTTCGGCTGCTTCATAATTACTGACAATATTCTAACTAATATAGTACATGCATTTTAGTAGTGCAAGCATAAGAAGTATATGGGGTTCTTTAATTAATGATTACACCCTGTGAAGCTAAGGAGGGGGCCGCAGGGCAGTATAGTATGTGCAGTATAGTTTTATTTTGAGGGCACCCATAGTACTGTCCTTGATGTGTTTATGATTAAAATCAATGTTAATGCATCAAAATGTCTGTAAATGCATTCACTATAATGCATGTCAATACACATCATGACATATGTCAATGCGCCATGACACACGGCAAAGCATCATGATGTGCATCAAAATGTGTTGATGTATGTACAGTATTGCACATGTTGACACTCAATACAAAGTGCATTGCAAAACATGTGTTAGAACACATTGTAAGATGTGTTTTGTTTCGTTTCCGTTGGTTTAAATGGAAAACGTATCAGGGAAAGAGCATAGGTGTGACTAGTGCTAAGCTTTCATTATACACTATGCCCCATAACAGTGACCTCTTTTATATTTTATAGAAGCCAGCCAGTTACATCAGAGGATAACAGAGAGTGTGTACCATGCTCCAATGAATTCTTGGGTTACTAGGTAAGATGAATATTGTAGATATCAAAAAATGATTTTCTCCCGGAGATCCGATCTCTAAAAGTGATACCCCACCTATGATATATTAGGTCTCTCTACCGAACTGTGACCAAAACTGCATCAAGAAAAGTGGAGGGATCCAGCCATACAAGGGTGGCCGGTCCAAGCGGTCACTAGTGGAACGGGACGGACAAAATAATGGTATTATAAAAAGGTATTTATTGGTGCAAAAATATCAAAAAGGGAAAGATATAGACACCACCATCTATTCACTATCAAGGGTTAAAAAGCATCGTCTGCAGACTTCAAACACACTCTGGTTGGATGAATAAACCACATATAGTTTTAACATGTATCATTGGATATAATATGGCTAGACCACAAAGGTAACCATCTCGTCAAGGAACGAGATTATTCATCCAACCAGAGTGTGTTTGAAGTCTGCAGACGATGCTTTTTAACCCTTGATAGTGAATAGATGGTGGTGTCTATATCTTTCCCTTTTTGATATTTTTGTACCAATAAATACCTTTTTATAATACCCTTATTTTGTCCATCCCGTTCCATTAGTGACCGCTTGGACCGGCCACCCTTTTATGGCTGGATCCCTCCACTTTTCTTGAAGATGAATATTGTTGACCAATGTATTCAAATTGAGAATTTGCAGCAGTTGTTTCTGTGGATTGTTTTATGCCACAAAATTAGACAATATCTCCATCATATTTTGCAGCATAGAATGAGAAATGACTGTGAAAATATCACATACACCCATGATTGCTGGCAATAACTTTAGCAATCTGTTTCAGAGAATTATGTAAAGCACATTCAACATGTTCTAGGTGACAACTTCACAAGTACAATTATTAGACACAGTTGTCGAAATATTCAATTGTTCTTTTTTTAACAAAAGGTCAAACAAAACATCACTGAACAATCAAAACAAAGCCGACTCCTCCAGTCACAATTCACCGAACAACAAGAACAGAACAACAAGTCCAGCTGGAAGACATACAAAAGGTAGGAGTAATTAACTTCATGACATTTAATGAAGCACTTTCAAAGTAATAACATTAATGATAAACAAATCCATCTTTAACTGTTTATTTTTTTATAGGCAATTTTACCTGTTGATGCTGATCCCAATTGTTTTGGGATTCTAGGGATTTGGGATTGTTTTGCAGTTCTAGCGTATTATTCATGTTCATTAAGACAATGAATGAGATCATTATGAACAGAAACTGTAGATTCCAGTGTTATGATGAAAAAGGTAACTGCAGTGCACATAATAGCAGTCTGGTTTCATGTTTCATGTAATTATAATATAATAAACTTCCCAGAACTTAATCTAGTCAACCAGAACACAGACCTCACTATAAACCATTTCTAACATTTTGATTAAAAACAAAGGTCTTTGTTGAATACATTTGCAAGTATATATGAAACCTTAAGGACATTGTGGTACTACTCAGATCTATGTGAGTACCCAAACTAGGACATACTGTATATACCAATCAGCCATAACATTATGACCACTGACAGGTGAAGTGAGTAACATTGATTTTCTCCTTTTAATGGCACCTGAAAATGGGTGGGATATATTAGGCAGCAAATTAACTATTTGTCCCTGAAATTGATGTGTTGGAAACAGAAATGGGCAAGTATAAGGATTTGAGAGATTTTGACAATGGCCAAATTGTGATAGCTAGATAACTGGGTCAGAGCAGCTACAAAGCTGCAGCTCTTGTGGGATGTTCCTGATCTGCGGTGGTCAGGACCTACCAAAAGTGATCCTAGGAAGGAAAAGAGGGTGCATCTTTGAGATGTGCTGGAAAAACAATTCTGATCCATGGAGGCCCCACCTCGTAACTTATAGGAATTAAAGGATCTGCTACTGACGGCTTGGTGCCAGATACCACAGCATACCTTCAGAGGTCTAGTGGAGTCCATGCCCTGATGGGTGAGGGCTGTTTTGGCAGCAAAAGGGAGAGATACTGAATATTAGGTGGGTGGTCATAATGTTATCACTGATTGGTGTTTGTAGTAATGAGTAAACTGAGAGCAAGAGTAAGGCCTGTGGAGTAAGCCTTTTCCTCCTTTAAGAAACTCGATCACTTTACCCTGAATGAAAGCTTGCCCTCTCAGTCAGTTTATACTTTCCATGCTCCCCCCCACCACTTGGTTCCTCTGAGTCTAAATTCTGTATAATCTTTGTGTCGGATGGTGTCTGAGCTTACACTGGGTTGATGACATCTTCCTCATGTGAAGCGTCTGAGGATTTTGCATCTTAGGAGGCAAATACATACACCACCATTGCGTAAACACTAGGCATTCCACAAGGGCTTCAACAGAGTGGCAGGGGAGCACGGTGAAGGTCAGTATTAGTGGGTTGGGAGATCATCTTTCAAGAGACACTGTCACTTTACCCTGAACGGGGCAAAGTGACGAAGCAAAACACAATACATCCATGCTAAGCAATGGCAGCTGAAGTCCTCTAGCATGAGCATGCACCAAATATGGAAAGAAAACCAAAAGGTACAGCTGCTAAAATGATTTATAATAAGCAGAGGAATGGTGTGTATGGATCACAGGTATTACATTTTTTAATACAAACATTCCCAGAAACTCAATTCAGGTAGGCAGCATATAGGCCTTCCAATAACCTGGACACTATATTAATTGATGTATATTTAAAATCATTCTGTAGTAGAGTGAAATTGGTGGGCTTTCTATAACAGGGCTTCTAACTAAAGCCTAAGTTGAGGTTCTTCTATCTGTAGAATAATTGCAGGTGTCACTTTTTTGCTTTTCCTAAAAATATTTCCAACTTGCATCAGATTGTACTTGAAAAATATATTGTTTTATGTAAAACTTTCTCATGAAATGAATCTTAGTTATACTAACAAACATTTCTGAGAATGTGTCGCAGATAGACATTTTTAGAAACTATATTCATACCCATACCTGTGCCGTTATTTTGTTTACTGATATTAAGTGTTAAACTTTCACATATTATGCCTTGATCTATTGCAGTGGTTCTCAACCTGTGGGTCGCTGTGTGATTTCTGCTGTGCTAGGTGAGAGTCCTCCTCAGCCTTCTCTTAGCGCAGCAGTGTCAGTTCTCCCGCCACGCCACCAGAAGTCGCTGCAGCAGCCGCGTCATCCCTAAATTTTACCGTTGGGGGGTGACCACAACTTGGCAAATGTTACCAAGGGGTCCCGGCCTTAGAAAGGTTGAGAACCACTGATCTATTGGGTCACAATTTCAGCTCAGAGTTTCAGTTCAGTTTCCTCAAACAATAATCTTACTGACTTCCTGTTCTCCTTTCATAATATTTTACTTAACAGTATGTATTTTCTCTAAGGTTCCATCTGCTCTTTTCACATACACAGTGTGCTATTAATAATGCATATTTGTTTGTTTTTGTTGCCCTGTCAGTGCTATCTCATTATCTGCTCCCTAGTAATCAAACAGCTAATATTTGCTCCCTTTTAATCAAACAGCTCATACTTTGCCATATCTTAGGTTAATAAGAATACAGTAAATAGCTAAAAAAGACAGCAAAACTCAGATTAATTCTGATTATTTTGACAGTGTTTAGTATATCTTGTGTTATTAAACTGTCACTAGTACTTATATTGAAAAAAAGGAGCTGTGTGTTAGGCTCAAATAGAGACACTTTTACTGGTTGATGCTGATCCCAATTGTTTTGGGTAAGGGAGTTTACAGTGTTAGCGTAGTCAGGGCCCTCCTTACCATCTTGCCTTGATTTGTATTGTAACTGTAATGTCTTCCATATATTGTAAAGCGCTCTGCAAACTGTTGGCGCTATATAAATCCTGTATTATAATAATAATACAAAAAAAATAACTGGCTATACACTGTGTAAATTCTGACCGAGTCCTACTGACTAATCCAACTGGTGTGTGGCCCCGTTGGGACCCCTACGCCCCACCTGCAGTTTCTGTTTGGGTATTCTGACAGTAGCACACCCTCTGATTGAGAAAAAACAAGCAGTGTATGGACAGCCTTGACTTTGTATTATCTCCTGGAAACTGTAGTGGTCCAAAATATAAAATACAATAAAAAATATATATATAAGAAGAGGAATGGGAACCCTTGTAATGGGTAGGGCATATGTGTAGAAATTAAATCTTAGCTGCAAATATAGGGTATTGACTTAACTCCATCAAAAAGGCGGAAATCAACCTTGTAATGGGCACAAGAGATGAACAGAGCTGGTAGCTCACTCACCATTGATGACCCCAATAGGTATAAGAAGCTCTGGTTGCACTTTCCAGCAGATACCCAATTCTGTGTTTACAGATTTTATGGCTTGATCCTTTTTGTATGGCATTTTTATGGTTTTATGAATGGAGATATAAGCATGGGAACGCTTTTATAATGACATTAGGTAATTTTTACGTATTTCATTTTACAGCACATCACCATCCCACCTTCCCTTCTGTATTGCTTGCTGATTAACCCAACTAACCTCACTCCCTTGCAGCTTTATTCCTTTCCCTTTCCCTTTCTCCTAGCTGATATTCCTGCCAGTCATAACCTAGAGCGCTCAGCGCTTGCTAGAAAGAGATTCACATTGCAGGGTCTCTCCAACCGCAGAGCTCCATCTAAAGGTAAAGTGACCTTGTGACATCTTGTTCTACACGTGTTCACCGTCACATATCCACTTGTCAGCTATTACCTCACCTGTCTCAGTGTTAATAATTTACAAGTCACTTCCCATTGTAAGTCTTTTTTTTATGCACTCACTATATTGGAGACATGAAAGTTCCAAAGTACAGTGTTCTGACTTTGTTCTTCATAAGATTGTTTGGTTAGGCAGTCTGCTATCAGATATTATTTTGGCAACTCTAACTTTTACATCTGAATCTGGGCCAAACATATGCATTGGTATTGGGCAGTATAATACTTTCCACATATGATGGTATCATCTGTTCATGGCACTTATTATAAAAATGTTGTTGTTCCAGTTTTAAACTAGCTGCCAGGCTCTTCTGTGCCAAAATGTACACAGCATTATAGTTTTTTGTTATTGTGACCAAAAAATAGGCCTGATAATGGGACTAGCCACCATTGTATACAACACACAAAGCAAATGCAAGTTACATTTCCTTTAACTTATAATGATCTTATTATCAGATACAAATGATATAAATGATATGATATGCATGAGTGTATAGGAAAAAAAAGAGAACTCCCTTTTTTCTAGAACTTTGACAGAAGCAGAAACAAAAAAACTATTGTTACCAACTCATTCTGTAAAAAAAAAAAAAAAAAAAACACCAAAAATTCATGCAGGGTTTTTCTGGTGCCAATTGACAAAGCCAGAAGAAGATATTTAAAATTTAACAACTTTTTTCACAAGTACCATAAAATCATCTACACATAAAACCATAAAAGTAGAACACCATTATATCTTATGTTGGTTAACTCTCTTTACTAATGACCACCTTTCCATTGCCACTCCTTGAAAAGAAAAGACAAAATATAGAACATGTATATAATCTTGTCAAAGATCCAACAGATATATTGTTGTTGATGTATTATTCATTAGAGTGGTGCTGACTTCAACGCGTTTTTGCACTTCATTTGCACTTCATCAGGTCATCACATAAGAAACGGCATCAAAGTTCATAAGTCTGATGCTGGCATCCAGGTACCTGCACCTGGGAATCTCCAAACCGGGACCAATGACTGATCTGGAGGTCACCGTAGGGAAACCAATCATGAAGTACCCACGGAAAGTTTCCGGGCATCCCTTTAAGAAGGGAGCCTGGATGGAGACATCAAAATAATAACCAGGGAATCAGATAATCCTTGAAACCTGCAAAGATGCGTGGCTTGGTGCGGGTCTGGCCGCTGTCGGCCATTGGGAACCGGGAGTCTGAGGAGAGACAAGGTTAAGCAGGTTCAGAACCAACAAGCAGTATTGGCATGCATTGCAGGTTTTAAGGATTATCTGGTTCCCTTGTTCTTCTTTTATGGTTTTATGTGT